GTACTCATGCTATCTTCTCCCAACATGCTCCTTCAGTCGTGACTCCTCCGTGGACTCCTTTATGCCTAAAATGCCACTAGTCTAATTTCTAATTACAAATTAATTCATGAAACCCCAAGTTACATTTTGGGGGAGTAAGGTGAGAAAAGGATTTACACAAGAGTCAAAGAAAGACAAGGCATACAAGCCTTATTTCCTAAAATTAAATTACAACCATTTGTAAAAACCAAAACTTTAATCTTGAGCACCCTGACCATCCCCTTCCTTTCTATGCACCTAAAAAGTTAGTAACCAAACAAGCGCAAAAATTACCTAAAACATGTTATGTGCATTCACATGGACATATTAACACTTAACATATCCAAAATCCAAGAATTGGCACATGCTTCCCAAGCATCCCAGGTGTGGCCAAATTCTATAGGAAATAAAATTACATGTTTCAATCAATTTCTTTCATAAAGAATGATGCAAAACATTACCATAACTTTTGTGCAGTCTTTTGAACGTATAATCAAATTATTAGTTCAAAAAATTCAATCTTAAATCAAAGATCTGTATGAATCAATTAAAGAACAATGCAAAGATCATTTTTAACCGAACAAAAATATCCTAACTTGTTTGCAGACCATGAACATGAAAAGAGGGAAAAACAAAAATTCTCATGCGAAAAAGACAACATTTGCCCACCCTCACACATGTTCGACCTAAGATACATACAATAGACATGTTAGGGGTTAAGGACAATACCTTAATTCAGATTAAAAACTCATAATCAAAAGCTTTCTTGATCACCACTCGAGACTTGAAAGTACAAGTCATCCAATGAAAGTCGACACCACCATGTTGTCTTATAGGAGAAGAACAATTCTTCAATACCCAAGTTCCTTCAAGAGAGGTTGCTAAAACTCAAGAGAAGTGACAAAGGAGACTGGCTGCTTTGGTGAGTTTTAAAGAGAGAGACCACCATACATATGCGTATTTTCGGCTAGGTTCGTTTTCAAATTAGATGAAAAATAAGAAAAGTCTCACAAAATTAAAGAACAAAAGGAAACTTAATGTGGCGGCTGATAAACCCCATTAATTAGGTCTAGTCAGCGTCTCATCATATCCCAATCATATTGAGTAGTTTTCTTAATTTTTTTCCAATCAATCCAATTGAAGGAAACTTAATGTGGCGGATGATCAATCCCATTATTTAGGTCTAGTCAGCGCCTCATCCTCATATCTCAATCATATTGGGTAGTTTCCTTATCCAATCAATCTAATTAATTGATTTCCTTAATTTTAGCCATTTTCCTTAATTTTCTCTATTGTCATTAAATCCATTTTCATGGCTATATTTAAATTCAAATTTTGAATTCAAAATTCAAAACGAGAATTCAAATTATATATTAATTTAATATTTAAATTAATTATGTTACGCCATGGATCAAGTCCTATTTGACCCATAATGTCACCTTCCTTCTCTTGGCCCAACATGTGGGCTTGACCAACTCAGGCCCATTAACCCTTATTGGGTCCAAACCACATATGCTAGAATTCAAGACAACTTAAAGTGTTTGTGTATGACCTACAAGGCCCAACCTAGCCACTGATACAAATGGGCTTGGACCCACTAGGCCCAACCCATCTAATGAAAACACAGAGCACTAGAAATGATTTGTTGTCCCAAAGCTAGTTGAGTTCATCGAATGATCACCTGTTATACATATTTGGTTAATGAGTGTACCGTCCTGTCATCTCGATTTTCCGTCCCATTGTCCTAGGGCAAGGAAACATATCAACCCCTGTGGTCTAAGGCTAACTTTTGTCGAAATAGGAAATCTTTATTTACGGACTCTAAAGGGTGGGTCATCTCAGGACTCCTTGTTATGCATAGATTCTCGAGTCCCGTAAATATCATTTCGGTTTCACCAGTATACGAATAACCTAATCTCTTATAGAGATTGACAAATCTCTTCAGCTTTCCACACTAGCCTTGAGTCCTTAAGGCATGCCCAAAAGTATACCTATGAGTCTTCATGTTTCAGGCAGACAAGGTATATAATCAAAACAATCCTTACAGAGCATAATTCTATGTGACAACATCAGGTCTAAGGAAAGACACACTCAAATAATAAGAGACATTATCTAGTGATACTATCTGTGAGATTTCCCTGTAGTGTCTCTTGATGAGTCAGTTCAGTGCGAGCTATTTTCTAATAAATCCATCCATGAGTCAGCTAGGACATCTCCATGTCTATACCTCACGAGGTCTCTACCTTGCATCTCCATGCAAGTAGCCGAGTCGTGCTAGTCTTACCTGAGGTCACCAATGCCTATTCTCGATGTCTCTAGACTGAGAACATATTTTTGGCAATAGACGTATGGTGTCATTGAGTCCTCATGATCACGATCCTTATCACAAATCCTCAACGTGACACCCATTTCATTCCAAGGCCTTTATCTAATTACTCATATTCAATTTATATAAACATATAATATTTGAGACAGACAATATGAAACGAGACAAAGAATGCTTTTATTCATTTATTCATAACAATAAAGAAGTACATGAGCCCATCTGACTCTCAGATTGTCTCTAGGTTAATATACTAACATATTCACTAGGGACCAAGGAAGTAGGACAAGGGTTAAGGAACCCTCATGGCTATCTAAGCATGAGTGCAACTCATGAAGGAGAGTGCATGAAGAGTTTGTGGTATCTCCCCCTTTTTGCTTTGGAGAACTCTTTTTTCCTTTCTACGCCACTTGTTCCTTTATATTATCTCTTTCTCATAACCTAAACACTAAGTATCCCACTTGTTAAAAGAAGATGTTTTTTGTTATGACGTGAAGAGATAGTGTGGATTACCATTATAGGGGTTTAGAGAGATTCAACCCTACAAGTGAGGAGTTTCTCGTTGCCATTGTGGAGATAGTGTTGATCACCGTCAAAGCGGCTTTGGAAATTCAATCATATAAAAAGGTTTCCTACGATTTGAAGCGCCAAAGGTATGGTTTTGATCCTTTCCCCAAATTCAATATATTTTGAATTCGATTCTTGTGTGATGTAAATGTATGTTTTCGTAGCAATTTTTTGTTTTATTTACATCACCTAAGACGCCTTTAATCGTTAAAGGCTATGCCTTTTGTAAGCATGAACTTTCATATAGAAATAAAGGTCCACATTCACTTAGGTTGCAGAAATATTTTATCATTAATAGATTATAAGTGAAAATTCGAGATTTACATTTCTGACTTACGATTTTGGCAAAATATTTTTATCATGTTTCGATAATAACAAGAATTTATAGATTCTCACAAATTGCGTCAACAAACAGATTTTGTGTACCTTTTATGTGTGGTTGTGCTTTAGCATCCTTGGAGGAGTCCTGCGGGTTGCAGCAGTGCAATCCTCCATGTACTCCGATGAAAAATAGGTTGTGAACTTGCAAAACACTTATACTCAAGTTAGTATCAACCATAACTGACGTGTGCAAGGTATAGAATATTTACTTGATTATGAGTTGTTCTTGAATGAGGGTGAAAACCTCTCTTTCTATGTGGCAGCTGCTAAGAGTCTTCTTAGGGATTTAGGATTTTTTTTCCTTTACTTGTTGGGCCCAATGCGTAATGGGCCGAAGTTGGATAATGTATCCAGAATAGTTCCCAAAAGTGGCATTTGTGATAAGATCTTATCTAAAACAATATCTATTTTGTTTGTTTAATAACGATGGTATTAATTATCATTCAAGAATCATCATGATAATGTTTAATGGGCCCAATACTTCGATAATCATCATGATACTGATATTAATAACGATGGTAATGATAATAATAATATTGATGATATTAATAATAATGATAATGAAAAAGATAATAATGTTAATGATAATTATAATAATGATAATGCTTTTAATAATAATGATAAAGATAATGATAATAATCATAATGACAATGACTATAATAATAATAATGATAATGATAATGAAAACGACAATAATGACAATGATAACAATAATGATAATGATAAGAAATTTTTCCTTTCATGGTCAAAAACACTAGCTTTTAAATATTTTCTGAGCGAAGTTGAAGAATTACTACGTTTTGATAATTTTTGTTTTTTTTTGAGTAAATACTTTTTTTGACCCTCAGTAAATTTCATGATATCCACTTTAGTCCATAAAAAATAAAAAGGATATTCGTGGTTCTAAGAAATTTAAAATGAACCTATTTAGTTGAAATCGTGGTCCCTCACAAATTCAAAAAAGACCCATATTAGTTCTTTAAAAAGACTAAAATTGATCCATTTTGAATTTCTTAGGGACCACGAATAGCCTTTTTATTTGTTAGGAACTAAAGCAGGTATCGTGAAATTTAGTAAGGATCGAAAAAGATATTTACTTTTTTTTTTTTTTTTGATAGCCACTACGTTTTGATAATTAAGTTTGTTGTGCATACTGCATAGAATAAAAACTTATAAAAAATGTTCGCTACATCTAACGGTGCTAAAGAACCATTTCAATTAAGAAATATAAGTTGATTAGTAATGGATCTTCAATGATTTTATATTATGTCTCTAACATATTTTGACCTTAATTGACACATAGATATCGCACAAATCTATTGTTTATTTTCTATTATGTGTTGACTTCATTTCACGTGGAACACTAAAGAGCAACGTTCGTGATCCTGTGGTTACACAAGCTTTGACCATGACAAAACAACTACTTTAAAAAAAAAAAACTGTAGTTTAAAGGAATTGGGTAAAAAAAAAACTTAAAACTAACTTGACCTGTTTATAAATTATAAATTACAGGTACTTTTTGAATAAAACAAAAAATTAGAAAGTAGAGGCAGCCTCAAATTTATTTAACATGAACAGCCACAATACAAATGACGAGAAAGCATAAAGCCTTATTACAATTATATGACGTTTTCAGCAACTAGGAATATAGGTAGCTAAATATGAAACACGACACAATAATTATTAAGCAATGAATCGCCATAAAATAAATCTAAAAATCGAATGATGCAAACTCAAGAAGTTGTGGATTGCGCTCAAACTCGACCATATCATGCTCAGTCAAAGTGATCCATGCCTCTATTCCATCCCCATTTTTTGTTGCCAGAAAAATGACCACATTTTGTATAGGCAAACCGATAGTACACACCCAAGTTGGCTTTCCCCATCCAAAATCAACATTATATAAATCAAATCTGGTCCAACTGCTAAAGCTATAACATGGAATACCTTTTTCTGTGACCATTTTCCTTGATTCCTCAAAAGCTTCAAGAACCATAGGCAACTCATCACCCTGAAGCATTTTTACATAATCTGCATCAACTTTTTTTACCGTTTTTCTAACTATCTCTGCCAAATCATCCAACCCTACCACTTCTTCCACTTCCACCAATGGAGACACAGCCAGTACCCAAAGATTTCCTAACATTTGCCTCAACAATGATGAGTCCATTCGACTGCAAATGTTCACCGCATGGGATACCATACATGCATGACGTGTCTTTTCCCCTGAGCTTGCTTTTGCTGCTTCAATAGCTGATTTCCATATGAGTGCTGTCACAGCTTCAACACGAGTGGGTTTGAGGCAACCAAGTTTGTCCCTTAGTTTCGATATGTTTTTCCCATTAAATATGAACCTCTTCGTTACAATGTTTTTGTGACCAGCCACCCCACGTGTTATGTCTATTTCTATGTTCATGGGTGGGAAAAGCAAGGCTGCTTCCATTTGAGGTGCCACTATGTTGCTATCTCCCCTTGCTTTTGCACTCCATGCATTGAGGAACGATGACATTGTTGAAGCATCAGCAATCTTGTGTGAGAAGCACACACCAAGTCCTATACCCCCGCAGCTGAATTCATTCAATTGAACTGCCATGTTCCGTATAGGTTTCTTGTGATCTACTTCAGGGTTGTAGAGATCAAATGGGAAAAGTTCATTGATCTCATGAGCTTGAGGATTTTTCAGAATATTTGAGAGTTCTTTGGGGACTTTAGACTCGATGTAGAGAACACCTTCATCATTGCACTCAACAGTTGAATTGTCTTTCAATATTCCACAAAATGGGTAATAAAGAGTGAGGACATTCGATAAAGAAGACTTTAACTTGTCAGATATCATTTTGATATCATTCCCGAGAACACTAACATCAGAGGCAGTGTAAAATAGGACAACAGGAACATAATTTGAGGAAGGAGCCAATTGATCAAGGAGGGAGATTTTGAAGTCTCTAAGATGATTAGGGGTTGGAGAGAATGGCTTAATGGTGTCCTTAGATACAATCTCAGCTTTTGTTGCCATTTTCTCCAAGTGGAATTCTGAAGCAAATTGGTGTTGCTAAACTTCTCTTTAGTGTTCTTGGTGATATCATGCGGTTTTATGCATAGAAAATATATATACTACAACTCATTAAAATAGAGTAACGTACGTCATTTGTACCTCACTTTGCTGACACCATTTTACATCATTTTCTTTTTACATTAAATACAAAATAATACATTTTTTTATACCCTATCTTTTGTACCTTTTTTTTTCATTATTGCAAATAAGTAGGTATAAACAAAGGATTTTATAAGAGTTATGTTGTAAGAAAAGTGATTGTGTAATATTATAGAGATTTATTTTGCGTGCCGTAGTTTTTTTTTTTTCTTAAAAAAGTGTGGGCCTCACAAAATATTATGTGTGTAGGAAACTTTGTTCTGTCATGTTAAATGATAAATGCAAACCCCTTAAAATAATATAATAAAGAAATGTTAACATCATAATATAACTGAATCAATAATTTGGAGACAAAAGGTTTGGCACCGACGTTTAAACACATGTAGACCAATAATAGAGAAATGTTAACATCAAAATAACTGAATCATTAATTTGGAGACAAAAGATTTGGCTTTTTCACAGTTAGATATTAAGACCAAAAAATAAAATTGGTAATTACCTAGCAATGCATGTGATGCTGCTATAATTTTGAAAAACAAAAAGGGTGACACTATTTATATATCTTTATTGTATAAAAAATAAATCTTTGTTCTTTATGATAGAACTTTTTTAATTATTGTGGGCTGTAATTAATTATAATTATTCTTGTTTAAATAAAATCAAGCTAAGTCATGATTCATATGAAAGTGTAATATAAAGCGTATTTGATTAACTGGTCATTTTGTTTGGGTTTTGAATATTTGTAACACATGTTTAGTAGGGATAACAATGTAGGCCTAACTCATAGGCTCGTGATGGGAAGGGGACTCCGATTAATAAATTTTTCTAGGCTCGATCTGCATTCACAATATGTTGTGAAAGAGTGGCTCCACAACTTGCTGCATTGATAGGATTTTGGTCCTTTATACTTTGCAGGAATCAGAGCAAGCACAACAACCTTTGAGATACCAAAATCTGTGTCTTCAACAAGTATGCGAAAACATGTAGTGTTCTAATTTCATATAATCATATTTTAGTGATTTCTTATGTTAGGTATCAAAACCTTGATTATATAATTTAGGATCAAATTATTAATTGTTGGACATGATTATATGAATTGGGATTAGTAGTTTTTGTCCTTTTTCATTATTGAATGTGAAATTTCACGATTATTTTTTTTCTTCATAAATCAAAACCTAATTTCTTATTCTTGAGCACAAAGGGGGAGCTTTGTTGGGTTTGTGACCCATGATGAATTAAGTCCAATATGTAAGGTTTCCCTAATCTCATGTTTAAAAGAGCTACTTTTAGCCACTCCAAAGCGAGAAGAGAAACGTGGGAATAGAGATTTCCAAATAAGAAAGCTTCAGAAGAAGAAATTCCACATTGTTAATGAAGAAGAGAGAAAGAGAGCATATAGAGTAAGATTCTTATCCCCTTACATAGGGATATCCTCCTTTGTGAGAGAACCCTATTTTGTAAGTGTTATGGGCCATATAAGGGGCCCATTGATTGACAAGCCCAGCAAAGGGCAGTCTAAGATTTAAATCAAGCATAACTATGGAAAGATATCCATCAAGGATACTAATCCTAATATGATGGCATGGCAGATGGGCTTGGGCCCTCATCAGAGGCACTAAAGGTCCATATTCTACTACCCACAGGTAAATCCTATAAATAAGAGATAAAACCTAAAGGTACGTTACACTCTCTCTTACTGTTATGCTGTCACTGTGCACACACATCTCTATTGGCAAAGCCGTTATTGTCTCATTGTGCACAGTGATCTGCTTGACTCAAGGGTATCTCCTCCACAAATACCTTGGAGAGGGAAATAGATCAAAGATTAACGTACTAGTCCATTGGGCTAGACATCTCTGTCTCCAAGACAGAACACTAGCACCGTCTGTGGGGAATCTGCAAATTTGATATTCCCACGAGTCTGTTTAGAGATGGCAGTCCGTACGAGGAGCAATAGCCAGCAGCTACAGCCTACAAATCAGCAGCTGGATCCTGTTCTGGAAGAGGTGAATCAACCTCATCACCAACCGAAAAATGACATGGACTATGATGTGGTCCATGTCAGTGAGGATGTATCAGACATAGTCTCTACGCCAGCCCCCCGCAACAGAGTTGCAGATCCAACTCCGAATAACCCTCATCTTCAAAACCCTGCGGACATTGCTGCCCGCGTTGCACAGGCTGTAGACCCTGATTCTTTCCTTGTACAAAACACGTATGTTGTAATTTTGCAGTGGAGGGAGGATATGGAAAATCGCAACAACCTCCAACGGTAAGCAAATTTCAGGAGGAGAACGAGAGGAAGATGCAAGATTTGGAGCAGCGATTGTTGGGGTTGAGAGGACCAGGGTCAGAAAAGACCCAAGTCCGAGATGCTAATAGCTGCAATGGGGATCTTAACCCGGATAATCAAATTCGGATTCTAGAGGCTGAAAGCAAGGGAGGTTAGGGAATGAACAACCAGAATGTAAACATGCCACCTCTGGTCCAGAATGCTTCAGCGGGAGCGAATATGCAGAGAAACAGGGATGAGACACATCTTAACCAAGATGCCCAACCTGTCAGAGGACGCATGGAACCCGGCGCTTACAGGAGGAAGTACAGTAGGGCTCAATACAATAACAACCCCTTTACTGGTGAAATACTAAATGCTCCATTCCCGGAGGACTTTGATTCGGCACACTTGCCGAAATATGATGGGAGTCAAGACCCACATGTCCATATAGATGCGTTCGACACAGATATGTATATCCGAGGAATTGATGAACTCGTATCCCAGATATTAGCCATAACTTTAACTGGGGCTGCGCATGCATGGTTCTCCACCCTGCCTGCTAACTCCATTAGGTCCTTCGAAGAAATCAGAGAAAAATTCCTGCTGAATTTTGCAACAAGAAAAAAACACTCAAAGTCCGAGTTTGCGCTTGGGAAGATATGACAGCAACCCGGAGAAACACTCCAGAGGTATTTGAACCGATTTAAAGATGCAGCCTTGCAAGTTCCAGGTTTGCAAGAGAATGCCCATGTCCACCTTATTGTAGCGAGGTTGAAGAGGTCATCTAGGTTGGCCAAATCAGTTTATAAAGACCATGTGAGAACTTTAGAGGAATTCAGGACCCGTTCGAAGAAGTACTTGGAACTCCAATGAATGGAGATAACAAATGCGCAAGCTGAAGAGGGTAAAAGAACGAGTCCGAGAAGGAGGAGCTCGACCCCAAGAGAAAAAGAGTGAACCGACAATAAAACGAAAGACTCTCGAGGGAGAATCCCAGATGATAGAGATCGGGTTGGAAGGTATGAAAAATACACACCATTGAATGCCCACGCTCTCAAATTTGGAGAGAAGTGGCAATGATGGAGATGAAAAAGGCAGATAGACCCCGACCCATATTTTATATAGGAGGCTTGGATAAATCAAAATATTGTGACTTCCATGATGGACCGGGCATACCACTGATCAGTGTTGGGATCTCAGGGATGCTGTGGAAAATTTTTTCAGAAAAGGAAAATTACGTCAATACATAATCAAGACTCAGGGGTCCAAAAGTAATAAGAGAAAGCTCGGAAATCAGAAGAGAAGAGAGAGTCAGTGCCTGAAAAGAAAAAAGAAAGAAGATAGAAACCAAAGAGATGATTCCAACAACGACGAATTCCCAGAAGCTGAGTTCGACTGCAATGTGATCAGTGGACCCTTGGAGGAGGGGGAGGCACAGTAAGTGCTAGACGATAGTATCTGAAAGAATTACTTTCAATCAGGGATCGCCCAAAATTTAAGGAGGATCCCAGTAAGCCAGATCCCCCTTTACTCTATTTCACAAGGGAGGATATGCAAGGGGACCTGCCAAGGCACGTTGATGGTCTGGTTATCACTGGTACCTTGGTCAATTACCGGATTAAAAAGATCTTTATAGATGCAGGCAGCAATGTCGACATCATCCTCTGGGACCTCAGGCCTTGTAAGACAACCCTGATAGCTTTTAACGGAGAAAACACACCTCCCAAAGGCTATATTCACCTCAGGTTAACCCCAGAACAAAAGAAGCATTCAAGTTAGAATATGTAAGGTTCATTGTGGCCGACTTTCCATCTCCATATAACGTTATACTTGGGAGACCAACCCTACATAAATGGGACATGATGGTATCCACAAAACATCAGAAGATAAAGATGGTAAGCAACAAGAATGAAGTCATTACCATTCATGAAGATTAAAAGGAATCAAGAGAGTGTTACTTCAAAATCGTCAGGAGACAAAGCCGATAAAAAGGTAACCCCCCCATCATTCAAGCAAACCAGTCAATGTGGTTGAATTGGATATGAGGGAAGAAGTGATCCCTAGACCAGAACCAGATGGGGAATTAGAAGACCTTGTGCTGGGGAAAAAACCAGGTCAATTTACTAGAATTGGTAAAACTATTAATCCAGTGTCAAAGAGAAATTGATTCTATTTCTTAAAAGCAACACGGATGTCTTCGCATGGAAGTCATCCGAGATTCCAGGCATTGATCCAACATTTTGCTGCCATAAGTTGGCAATCTATCCCGGGTCAACGCCAGTGGCGCAAAAGAAAAGGAAACTGGGACCAGAAAGGAAGTAGGTCTTACAAGAACATGTTAAGGAGTTACTAGATGTCGGGTTTATACGTGACGTACAATATACGACTTGGCTTGCCAAAGTCGTTACGGTGAAAAAACCTAACAAAAAATGGAGGGTTTGCACAGATTGTACAGACCTAAATAAAGTATGCCCAAAGGACTCCTACCCTATGCCCAACATTGACCAGCTAGTAGACAACCCAGCTGCATTCCAGTTGTTATCCTTCATGGATGCTTATTTTTGTTATAACAAAATCCCAATGTACC